ATTTTTCATTTAAAATTTATATAAATCTAGAAACCTCGATATTCCATTGATGAATATCGAATATATTTGATAGTCAACATGCGGAAGTGATGCAAAATATTGATTGCCCAATATGCAACTAGCTTATTCAGCTCAATCTATTTTTCCAACGCAGTATCGTTCACAAAGTACCGATTTGATACAAGACAATGCTATGTGATGACTTTAATTTTGATAACACAAAAACTTGACGAGTTTCCGTCTGATTAGTATTCTTTCTAATCTTCTATTATCTGACCCCACTTTCATAATGAAAAGTGTATTGGAATTGGAATTCATGGACATGATCAACCTATAGAAGCTATGGCGTCAAGCTATGGGAACTAAACAGTTAAATGTGGTTCTACATATAATAACAAAACTCATCCGACGTAGCGATTCAGATAACTTCGTTAATCACTTTAGTATAAGTCTGTCGTGGTCAACAGAGGTTCGTAGATCGAACGTTATCACACAATCGGTTCCTTCTCGATACGAGCAAGTGGAAAAACCTCAACGTTGTCGTAGTCGAGTTTACGTATGTACATAGTGTATACACACTACATCGGATTGTTTCGCAAACGAGAGGTCTGGATAAGTTCCAGTTTCGAGATCGAACGTCAAAGCGTCAACCTCCGTTTCTGCGATCTCCAGCAAACACGGTCTACGCCTGTTCCTCGCGCGTATGTGGCCGAAATTCGTGTGCGGATGAATAGGACCAAGGGACGTGTATATACATATATTACAGGACGGTGAAAAGACGAGCCGTTGGACAAAGCGCAAAGCGCAACTGCAGCACAAAGTGACTTCGATTTCGGGAGTTCCGGGTATAGTGGTCGCGGCGCTGCGTTGCTGCACTGTTCTCAAGGCAACGGTATGACGCACATTAAAGATGCGAGCGTGCCGGGTGACTGTACTCTGGGTTCATCGTTCTCGGTTATGTAATGTTCGACCGTATGGTGCAAGCGCCTCGACGCTACTCGTGGCGCTAGAGTTGTCCGACGAGAGAAGCACGATATACAGACACGGGCCGTTTCGAATCCTCTTCTCTCCAATACAGTAGTCGCTCTGACTCGCTCCGGCTATACGCGAACGCGATACGCACACATATACCGACTGATACATGTGGACGTCGCGTCGTTCCTCTCGCTCCTCCTCTCTCGCTTCGGTAGCCTCGGCGTTTCTCTTTTCCTCCTAACTCTAACGCATCCTCTTTTTCTGTCTCGATCTAGCGCCCTCGCGGCACACGATATAGACGCCGCATTACCGAGCTGAAAACGAAAATAGAGGGTAACAGGAGCCACTGCAGCAGCAGCCGCATTTCTTCTCTTTCCCTCTGATCCATCGCGGATTCGCTTTCTCCCATTTGCTCACGTCTCTCGATGCTTTCACGCGTTTCTTTGGCAAGGGTGAATTGTTCCCAGGGTGGATTGATCTGATTGGTACCACACGCGAGATCGTCCATCATAAACTTCGTGGACGGAGAGGAAACGCGAGCGACGAGTTTTAGGTCTGAAACGAGAGAATTTGTCGTGCGTATTGTATTCCGCGCCTGGGTGGCGTGTTAAAACATGGCCCGTAAACTACGATTGATTTAAGGGGTGCTTCTCATGGGAATCGTAAGGGTGTATTCTTGGTTGAAATCCAAGTTAGAAAACGTAAAAATAGCCTCCCTCTTGGCTGAGATTTGTTTCAGGAAACGAAGACGTTCAACCCTTTCGCCGCTTTGTTATTATTACTGTTATTAAGATAACTGCATGATTTGAGAGAGCACTAAAACGTTCTAAGAATAACTTTTATGTACTACATTTCGAGAGAAGTGTCTCGCTAAAGGCACTATGAGATGTACGTACATGTATTCGAGGTGCGTAGCTTCTTGTAGATTAGCCTCAGGTAATTTCATCCAGCGAGTCAGAATCGATTATACGTCAGCACTAATCTCCATTTAGGAAAGATCCTCTCTATATCGCGGAGGAGAAATTTTCCGCGTCTCCGTCCTGGGTCAGCCAATACCGCGTTCTTCGCGGCATACAGCGCGCATGCTGCGCCGTGTTCGTGATCAGACACCCGTGGCATGACGTTCCGTATGATACACGATCTCGCGATCAATGGAACAACGTCTTGAACTTGTTCGATCCATGAACGAGTCTGTGAAAACTGTTCGCGATTAGTCTCGACACGAAGCTCTGAACAGTTATCGCAATTTGATGAAATATAACGCGAAAGAATTCGAAGTGTTTAGAAAGGACGATTACATTGGTCTTAAAATGAGCAATACTACCATCGTAATGTGTTCAAGTATGAGTTGTTAGTGAATTTTAAATGAAACACCATAACAGACAGACACGTAAATGGAGGGAAGTCTCTCAACATTCGGTGGTCCAAGCTGGGGGGCGGATAGCACGAGCCCTCAGCCACCGGAAATATCGAGAACCAGGCTATCGGTGCAAGCTTCGAGTCCAGAAAACACTAATTCAGATGATCGGAGGCTTCAAGTGAATTCTATACGAGGTACTCGACGCTGTGACATATTCGACGAATGTTTTCAATACGTATCTCCGAATGTACTTATGATTAGAGAGATTGAAATTGGAGTGGCTTTTTATTTTCAGTAGTACTTTCGTGGAAATTTTGTATCTAGCTATTCGCATATAAACCTATGCGAATTTCTTTTATTTATAATTATTATTAATATTGAAATAGAAATTCGAATCTAAAGCTATGCCTACACTGTGTAACAAAACGTTGTTATATGACAAATTAGTTTCAAATTTTGTTGGGCATATTTTTATAACTTATTACAATGATCTATTCAATTGCTTCTATTTAACGAAACGTATTTAGAATCTCCACTTGCTAAAGGCGGTGAGGTACCTGCCGATCTCTCTTTTATTGATATTGCATCTGTAAATCGTGTATCTTTCCTACTTGTTTTATGTCCAATTTTATTTATTATGCATTAAAAATGGGAACTTTGGATACATGCTTTGTAACTTGCATCATCTCGATATCCGCTAGATTGTCACTATATTTTCGAGCTAATAAGAATGGCTATAGTCGAAATTTTCGCTTAAGGATACTTCGTTTAAACGACTTTAGCTATTATGAATAATGGGATGCAAAATATTTTGAGAATTTGTTGGAGTAACGTATAATCGAACTTCGCCGTTCGCATGAAAGTGAATAACATCATTTTAACGTTGATCACAATGTACGAGTATTATACCCGTGTCTTCGTTAAGGGGGATAAAGTTATATTTCAGAAACGTTGACTCGCAGATCACTACCGGGATACTGCGCACTTACTGTTGGCAGAAACACTTACGCATGAAAGGCGTCTTTTTGCTTGGTCGTATTCGCGGCTCCCAAGTACCACGTTTCTTCCTAGCCTTGATTTTACAGAAACGGCAGCGACGTTTGTTGGCCGGTTATCGTGGCACATTCTTCGGCGAGACTCTTGCATAATCTTTTTATGGCAGATAGCTCGTGATACATTTAAACTGTTCACTGAAGTTGCATTGCGATAGAACCTGCCATCTAGTACAGGTATTGTCTTCTAATCGAAAGGTTATCCATAAATATACTATACGAGAACGACCAGTGGTTTGATGAACTTCGATGGGTCAAGAATAAAATAGTATCCCACATATCTACCCAATATATCCGATCTGTGTCTTCGATTCGTTGGTAGTATAATTGAAAGATTACGAAAAAATAATACAATCGACAATGATAATGAATTATCTGGAGAAGTAAAACTTGCGAAAATGGATATGAAATGTTTTATGAAAAGTTTTCATGCATTTATTAGTCATGTTTAATATTTCTTTTTTTTTATACATCATATTTTTGGTTTTTAATAAAAACAAACCAGCTATCGTGATATAAAAGCTTAGGAAGTATTGCTTTATTTGAGGTGAACAATTTTACAATAGAATCTGAAATCGATAGCGATCGATTTGTGTGATAGGAGAAATGAAAATAAAACAGGAGCACGATGCTGGCCCGATGCGATGTCGGTGCAGTTAGCGCGCACATCGAGCTTCATTTACTATATCGCCACCGAATATCGACACGTAGGCCAATGGTGAACTGAACGTTCTCCTTTGTTTGTGCTTTCAGCCCAGATCGAAATAATCCCGTGCAAGGTGTGCGGCGACAAGAGCAGCGGCGTTCATTATGGTGTGATCACCTGCGAGGGCTGCAAAGGCTTCTTCAGGCGGTCCCAGTCGTCGGTCGTCAACTATCAATGTCCACGGAACAAGAATTGCGTGGTCGACCGTGTAAACAGAAACCGGTGCCAGTACTGTCGGTTGCAAAAGTGCCTACGCCTCGGCATGTCCAGAGATGGTGAGTGCATATAGTTAATCTGCGCGCATGGAACCCCGCCGTTTTTCTCGTAGAGGCCTCAAGGCTGTCAGGGACTTGCGTTATTTCAGCGTAATTAACAAGCGACGTAAGAACGATCGCTTCGGAAACGATGTCACATCGCTAAGAATTGACTTACCAGATAGGTATCACTTGGCTCATTAAAGATTGTAAATCGTGCGTTTAGTCTGGTAGCTGTTTGCCTATTGATTGTTGCAATTATGAATGTTAACATCATCATCTTTATTACTGTAAGAAATGTGTCAAATGCAAAACATGTAAATCCTATGCATTATTCTTCTGCGATAGCCTTTAATTTGATATAATTAAATTACTCCTTTCTACAAATCACAGTTAAAGTGTCTTACGCGTAATAAATAGAAATTGTGTTTGTTCGTTGCTCGTGATTTTAATATATTTCTAGAACGTTTAGATAGTTACGAACTTACAGTTTAGTTTAGAAATTACATTCCATTTTTAATGGCCACGATTAGAAAATCAGAAAACAAGATAATGAATAAATTGACCACTGTTTGCGTTAATAGTTTCACTAATCGTCAGGGTAGATATGAGAGAGAATATATTTGTTTCGAATACATACTATCACTTATTAAATTATATGGCACATGATTCACATCGCGGTGCACGCATGTACGTTCCCTTCTATCAAATATCAATTGCAAAACATGACTGAACGCTACTAATGTCCAACTCCGTATTTTTATAGCGTTGTTAGTATTACGGTACATCGTTAAAGTGCGTTGCATTTTTGTGCGTCTTAAATCAACTGACATTTTGATTACACACCCATGAGTATGTACATTCTATAAAAAGTATAAGTGA